GTTCGATTGTCACATTGATGAATTGGGTTGGTCTATCACATTGAGGACTTGGGTTGATTGTCACATTGATGAATTGGGTTGGTCTATCACATTGAGGAATTGGGTTTATTGTCACATTGAAGACTTGGGTTGATTGTCACATTGAGAACTTGGGTTGATTGTCACATTGATGAATTGAGTTGGTCTATCACATTGAGGATAGATTATGACAAATGAGAACCTGTGTTCGTTAACACACTGAGGACATGAGTTGGTTGACACAATGAGGACTTGGGTTAATTATCACCCTGAGTCACCTCGAGAACTTAGGACAGTTATAACATTGAAAACTTATAATCGTTATCGCACTGAAGATTTTGTAAAACATACTTAAAAAGAGGGTAGCTAGTGTAGTAAGAAATTGGTGTTTTGCGGACGTTATTAAAGGTGCTATTATGTTTTTCCTTTGTTGTTGTTTTTTTCTTTTTTTCGGATGTTCGCCCAAAGCTACTTGAGGACTATCTGTGATTACCTGATGTAGAACTGACTGATTAAAGGGAAGGCTGCTTGTGAACAGCACCCACTGCCAAATCTTGGCCTATTATTGTCCGACAGAATATTGTTTTTTTTTTATCCTACGCTTTTACAACACACCCACGGCCCCAAAATAGCATATCGCAATGTTGTTGGATTATTTTGTTTTAGTAACGGGATACGAACGTTTGGCCCACAGATCTACAGCCCGGCACACTGTATAATTCTCGGCCAGGTATATATATAAGATACCCAAGAAATCATAAGAGAAACATCAAATTAGCAACGACTACACTATCCACATTTACACACATTTCTGTTACAAGTATTTCATAGTCTTTCTACGTTATTTTATGTGTTTTCTAATATATATATAAAGAACTGCATTAGTAAGAAGAATATTGATTAATTTTAAATACATGAGTTTCTCGAAAATAGTTTTATATAAATTTTATTGAGAAATTTCTCAGAATTGCAAATTACGAGCGAAGATAGAAATATATTTTAGTATATATGGAAGGAAGCATAAAACAAATAAAAACCTCGATTCTATAAATCACTGCAAAAATGTATATACATATATAAGAAATTAATGTCGTATGACAATAAAACGAAACAATTAAAGCTTACATGGATCATTGCGCACAAGGCCATAGTATTCTGGGTTAATCTTTTCCTCAGAAGAATAAATGCAACACGTAAACAGCGGACCACAAGATGACCCAACTTGACCACCAGACATCATGCAGGATAGTGTGAATTCACAACGACCTTTTCCAATACAACCATCCAGAGAAAAAATACCTTGTCTGATCGGTAGAGGTCGCTTATACAGCTCCACCAAGTCCCGGATAAATCCTCTCCTGGTGAACTGTTGTACTGCTAAAAACATCGACTATCGATATTTTAAATACATAGTGAATGAATACATTTCGAAAAAAAAAGTTAAATTTATTGTCCAATAATATAAATACAAAATAAAACACGTGCTTTATTAATACTGTATTGAATCTTCGAGGAGTCTGCAAGTTAAAGTTTATCTATGTAACGCCGAGTTTTTGTTACAAGCTAAATTATTTGATTTCTTAACAGTGTTGCATAATCTTGTTGTCTAAATATTTCACAGCATATAATCTGCAAAAAAAAGCAGCATTGATGTTTATAAAAGTTTATACTGTTTTGGACACCGGGCAATTGTTCGATGGACCGGTGCATTAGACGCATTCTTAGAAATTGATTTTAGATTTTAATTGTTTAGCAGCATGCAGCACGTGATATTGTTCGAGCTGGCCCTTTAATGTCAATCCATCCCTTTGTTTCGGGACTGATAACTATGGCGGCATTAATAGTCATCTCGGGAGACTGAACCTTTTTGACACTGACATAGTCTTGATCCTTGACCATTTGACACAAACGTTATTGACTTCAGATGAAGGTCTGTCAGAGTGGAAAGAGGTTTACTCTCCAGGGATAACATTATAATCTTATTTTATATTTCTTGATATCATATTTGTAGACAAAACGCTATCTTATAGAAACAAAGAACTCAAATAATATGGAAACTTCACTAAAATGTGTGCTTATAAAAAAAATGCTCATCGTTTTGAAGTAAAATAAAGTATAATTAGGGCAGCAAAACATAGTTATGTTAAATCATTTTACTAAGCCTTACAAACTGCTGTCACGATCAATGTCATTCTGTAGTAAATAATATATTTTAGTAAAGCATAATTGTAGCCAAAGCATATTACTTAATGGTGCTGTTCACAAAATGCCATTAAAGCTCAGTAAAAGAAGAAATTTAGATTTAAAAATTAAAATTGGTCCCATATACTAGTTAAGAAGTAATTAAACCTTGCTTTTCATGGTGTTACTATACAGCAAAAACTGTTCACTTAAATAACATGTAAATAATCAGATTACAAAAATAACACAATTACAAAACTTGATAGCAAGAGTTTACTCGTAAATGTAACTTACAAAGGCAACAATTACTTCTTATAGCCTTGGTTGTCATCAACACAATGCAAATTCTAAAACTGTTATATGTATATAGAAAAAAAACGGCTATTACACACGCGCGCGCAAGCAAATAGTTTCGAACACATTTTCCAATGGGTGTTTTACGGGTGTTTTAATGAAACTAGAAAGAGGGGGAGGGAGAACATTAATTAATTCATTATTAACCAATGTAGATGAGCTAAGGGAAAATTCAGGAATAATGGAACTAGAAAGAGGGGGAGGGAGAACATTAATTAATCAATTATTAATCAATGTAGAACATTAATTCATTATTAATTAATGTAGATGAGCTAAGGGAAAGATTCAGGAATAATGGAACTAGAAAGAGGGTCAATCAGACCACAGTGGGTGCGACTGTACGTAAAATACGTAAAACACCCACTGTGATCTGATTGATAGTCGTCAATCAGACCACAGTGGTGTTTTACATATAGTCGTCAATCAGACCATCTGATATTATTTTGTGTAGGTATTACATTGCATTGTTATTTTTTGTTTATATTACAGTAAGTTATTTTCATATAATGTGTAATATCATAGCTTTGAAAACAATGATATGGTGTGGTAATATACATAATTTCTTTCTTTTTTGTTTATATTACAGTAAGTTATTTTCATATAATGTGTAATATCATAGCTTTGAAAACAATGATATGGTGTGGTAATATACATAATTTCTTTCTTTTTTTTCTACAGACTCTCATTAAAAAAAAACGTAAAACTATCTTATTTTACATTTTTTGTCTGAGGTATTGATTTTTTCTTACATTTTAATGCCAGCTATATATATATATAAGATAAACCTATTGCAAGTATTTACTTTATAATATTGGACATTTCATATACCTCCAGAACAGTCCGGGAAAATAACTGATTCAAGAAAAGTAAAAAAAATATGTATTTTTAAATGTTCGCACATCAAAACACGAAATTATGCAAAGTTTTATTTCAGCGCGATACAAAAAACGCTGACACAAAATTTGAAGAAGTTGAAAATTAACAGCGCATTCAATTGTACGTAATATTTCATCTTACCTCTTTGACGAGTTCGGCTACGGTAAGCTGGAAGGTTGCTGTATGTAGAAACATGTTGAATATGAAATATAAACACCAGGAGGAGCCACAAGACTTCTGAAGACATTCTGTTACCAGCTCATGTGTTCTTTGATGTTTTCAGGATGATGGGTTGAAACATCCAGCGTGATACTTCCCCGCTGAGTCTGTCTTCTGACCTGAAACAGTTTGTTTGTTTTGAATTTCGCGCAAAGCTACACGAGGGCTATCTGCGCTAGCCGTCTCTAATTTAGCAGTTTAAGACTAGAGAGAAGGCAGCTAGTCATCACCACCCACCGTCAACTCTTGGACTACTCTTTTACCAACGAATAGTTCGAATGACCGTGAATAACCCCCCACGGCTGAAAGGGCGAGCATGTTTGGTGGGACGGGGATTCGAACCCGCGACCCTCAGATTGCGAGTCGAGCACTCTAACCAGGCCGACCTGAAACACAACAAATGAAACAGATGGAGGGATCTTCAAAGATCTAATGCTTAGTGGATTTTAACAATATTATTTCGTAACTTGAACTTTTCCTAATTATATTCCTTATTCAACCTACTTCGTCCTCGTACTAGAAGCTTGAATCGTTTGTTTTTTAATCGTGAACTCAGTTAAATTATGAATTGAATGTTTGTTTCAAGAAAAGGTGGCATTGTTATTATCCAAGTTAAAATACAATTAGTATCATTAACTCTATTTCAGGAAAACCTTTCACTTTGCTTAGAGTATCATCTGCAATAGAGATTTAAATACATTTATGTTTTTTTTTAAAAAAAAGACCTTGAATGTATAATTGATAACATACTATTATTGTTTTAAATATACAATTTAAATACCGTCTATCCCGCTTGTTTGTTTCGGATATTCTTGCATTACTACATTAAGGCTATCTGCACTAGCCGTCCCTAATTTTGAGCTAACGAACTAGAAGAAAGACAACAAGCCCCAAGTGCACCCATCGTAGACAACTGCACCCATCGTTAAACTTTTGGACTAGTTCTGTCTGATTGAGTAGTGAGATTTGGTCGTTACTCTTACAACTCACCCACAGCTCCAAAGTGCAGAGCGCGATTTCGCGGCAACGGGACGAGGATCGTAGATTCTCGGATTTACAGTCTGTCACGCTAACCAATAGGTCACCCTCCTTCCCCGACGGTTATGAAAAATTATCCTACTTCAAATTCCACTCGATAAAAAAGAAAACTATTATTTTCAATAATGAAAAAAAAATACAGAAAAACATGTTTTAATTTTGCTATAGATATTCTATAGATAATTTCACAAAGTATTTAAAATTGCAATAGATTTAGATTTGACACTGTATTTGTAAGCATTAACTCAGACAAGTAACGATAACCCTAGTAATATAAGTCAGACTATTAATCAGTTTCTGTTTAGTTATAAAATGCTACGTAAACAAACGTTGTAAGCGGACACAAAAATAATGGAAACGATATCATTTATTTTTATATTTTATGTTAAAATGATGTTTGTAAATAAAATTATCCAGATATGTATTAAATTTTCATTTGGGACATTATAAAATCCTGACGTCAAATAATAAAACAATATTTAAAAGAACAAATAAACAATGGCAAGCCTTTTGAGTTATGTGCTTATTAAGCAATTATCTTTTTTTTTTGTAACGCTTAGTGTCTTTGGTGATTAGATTGTGAGTAATGATGTAACATCTTGTACTGTTAAATGAGTTTTTTAGCAAGAAATCAAATCAAATATCAAATCTAGCTTCTTTCATTTCTATTTCATCAGATAATAAAACCTTATGGCAATTTTTATGTTTTCAGACATAGTACAAGCTATTGTAAAATAGTGAGGTGTTCATTATAATAACGTGTGTTATTACTTTTTTTTTTGCGATAATATATTCTGCAATCAGGACTCGTAATAATGTTTCGCTAACTAGAATCGCAGATATGTTTATGGCCGTAAATAAAGACTAAGATAGGCGATAAGAAAGGCAACACTTCCAATCCTTTTATGTTTTCCCGATACCCAGGCCCGTGGGCTAAGATTCCTGGCACGTCGTTCCAGATGAGAATCCGTCACCTGAATATATGAGTGAACCTGCTGCATCTTAATGAAACAAAAAGTCTTCGCGAGAAATCACACAGGTCGTAAGGAGACCAACTAGTTCCGGGGTGCAGACCAACCAATTGAATGTTTGGTAAACATTGGTTCTTGTCAGCTAAAACTTGGACTTAACATTCCCACATTTACAGTTTATAGTGAAATAACTCTATGAATGAATGTTGAAACATAATACCTAAAGCAACCGTTTGATGTCACATAAATATTATCGAAATGAAATTGAAATTATTCGGCTTTTACGTCTATCAAAACTGTAAATCTTTAGAATAGATTAGAATAATACGAGTGGATATGGCTTTGAAACGAAACTAGCATGGTGTTTTTACATACGAGATTAGTGATGGCATGAAACCATGCTAATGCCTGGTTAAATGATAAATCGGGAGAAGTTATTTGGAATGTATTATTTTGATAAAGTAATCTATATTAACCAAGCTAATCAGTCTGAATATATATATAAATCACTGAGAAAACAAAAGTTAAACATAACTTTTGTGGCAAGATGAAGAGACTAAACACAACCCAAATGAATTAATGTAATTATTGATATAAATATATCTATGTGTACAATAAAGTAGGGTAAAAGTATATAACATAGGCAGAACGATATTTTGTAAATAGATTAGTAATATAGAATTAGTATAAGAAAGAAACAAGAATATTAATGTAGGTAGAACAAGATGGACGATA